GGGCCTGGCCTTAGCTCAGTTGTTTAAGTGGCTGCTTCCACAAAGCTGTCAGCCTCAGGTTGCTGTAGTTCGATCCCCACAACACTCCAGTCAGCCAAACCTCCCCTGAGGGCATTCAGATCAAAAAAATAAATAAGTAAATAAATAAACTTATTCCATTAGACAGTCAAGCTGTAATTATAGAAATGGATTTAAGGACAAGATGAAAGACACAGACCTGAACACCCAATGAAGAAAAAAGGTATCTGAAAATATTTTAGGAAGACTACATTCTGAAATTGAGTCTCTTTACTCTTCAACAATTGCTGATTTTACCACTGTTTGTAACTATGTAAGACTAAAGTAAATAACTGGCCACCAATAATTTGCTACACAGAATGCTCTGCAGATTTCTGTGTACTTATGTGAAAAGATCCCCAAGATTCATTATGAAAAAAGATGGTTGTGTTGTATTATGACGGTGCATACCTGTTAGTCTCAAGTACTTGTAAGGCTGAGGCAGGTAGACTGCAAGTTCAAAGCTAGCCTAGGCAACCTCATGGGATGCTGTAAAATAAAATAAGCAGGGCTGGGGATGTAGCTCATTGGTAGAACACTTGCCTTAACATGTGGAGGGCCTTCAGTTCAATCCCCAGTACAGGAATGGGGTTGTTTTCTTTAAAAGGAAAAATATGGGCAGAAAATGTTTATTTTTTTTCCTATAAACACATTCAAGTCAGTATGGAAGAATATATATGAAGCTAACAATATTGGATATAGTATAATATTGGATATAGCACCCAGTGCACATGCCTATAAACTCAGGAGGCTGAGGCAGGAGGATCTCCATCTGAGGTCAGCCTAGGCTGCACAGTAAGGTCAAGACCAGATTGAACTATGTAGTGAAATCTTGTCTCAAAAATAACGAGAAAACAAACAGTGGCTACCTGAAGAGAAGCATAGGAATAGTTCAGTTTTTAAATATATTTTCTTAATTTAAAGCCATCATAATACAACTTCTAAAATATTTAATAGAGCTTCACATCAAAAGTAACATTACTAAGGAGAATAGTATAGTAAACCTGCATCACTGTCACTGCTCCGTAAGTCACAGCTGTCCAATAGATAGAGCCAACCATTATCCCCGCTGCAGCAAATGGACAAGCTTTTGAGATCAGTCTATCTGCAAGATCCAAGACATAAACGACTGGACCTGTAATACAAAGAAAACAAAGTTTCAAACAAAGTGAATTTTAAAAAACTGTTTGTTTTTCTGGGTGTGGTGGCTCATGACTGTAAGCCCAGCACTTGGGAGGCTGAGACAGGAGGACTGCCACAAGTCTGAGGCAAGCCTGGACTACATAGTAAAATCCTGCCTCAAACAAAACAAAACAAAACACTTGTTCAATATTTTCTACAGCTCTAACAGTCTTTTAAATAGTTGGATGCTCTAATGTTTGAAAAATATTGTTCTAAATAGATGGGAACTCAGAATTAAATAGAATTTTTATTATTTGCATCATTAGCTAAATATTACTTTCTAAATTCTAGGAAATAGACTATTCAAATTTTATTACTGAACCTATAATCAGAGCCTCAAAATCAGCTGCTTCTTATAAAGGAAATAGTCCTGTGACTTCCCTCTCAATCACGGTGGCTACTGTGAAAGGGTCACTTTAACTTGCTCTTTTCAAAGTTCTGGCAACCAACATATTTTGTAGTATGTACTTGGTAAGAATATCGTTTTTTTGGCCTCAAAGAATGAGGTGTATCTTGGTACAGTGTGTAAAAGTAGCCAAAGTTATTTTCTTATAGTTATACAAAATTTTTTTACTTTTTTTTTTTTTATGAGCAGAATATATTTATTGAGAGAAAGAAAGCTCCTGTTGAAGAGAGGGACAGGAGGGGGAGCCCGCGTGGGTAGTTTCCCCTCTCTTGATTTTTTTCTTTTTTTTTTTTTTTTGGCGGAATCGGGGATTAAACTCAGGCCCTTGCACTTGCCAGGGAAGCGCTTATTCCACTGAGCCATCTCCCCAGCCCCATGATTTTTAATATTATATTTAGTGTAGTATTCTTATCTAACAAGCTTTTTATGATTGTGATTACTTTATAGAGTTGAGACATTTGAACAGGTCAGTTATGCTTGTACTGTGTGCCTACTATTTTAAAGGCATTCTACTAATTGCCATTAAGCCATATAGATATAGTTCATATCTATATCTGTATTTGTATTTCCCAGTACTGGGAACAGAACTTCACCAGGGCCTTCACACTGAGCTACATTCTCAGCCCTTTCCCTTTTATTTTTTTTTTCAGACAAGGTCTCTCTAAGTCACTAACGTTCCCAGCTTAGGGTCAAATTTATGATCCTCCTGCCTCAGCCTTGCAGAGAGTTAGGATTGTAGGTATGTAATACCACACCCAGCAGTCCAACATACTGTAATTTAGCACCAGATTCTTTTTTATTGTTTTAGAAAAATGGATGAGTCTGTGATTATTCAAAGCAAAGCCAAAGAACTAGATATCTAAACTGAACTAAAGTATATAAAACCTCTTGACTTAATAATTTTTATTTTTGTTAAACATTTTCTTTTAGGTATTAGAAATGCATGACCTTCCAGGGGCTTACAATCTAAAGAATGATATACAAAAAAGAGGTTATCTTCACTGCACAAAGTAATAACAATCTGATGTTAAATAATTAAACATGAGAACAAAGCATCCTAGGGAATTTCTGATCAAGACTCCCTGCTGATTACTGGAGCCAGTGATATTACTGGTTACTATATAATGCGACTGTTGTGAAGTAAAGAGAAATACAGCCTATTTATTTACTACTGTCACGTTATAATTTCTGTAACATTTAAAACTATGCTAAGGTATCTTTTGCGACTAAAGGCATGAGGAAAGCCTAAGTTAGACTAACCAAGCCTAACTTAGAAGTGCCTTCTGATTCTAGATCCTCTAATTACAGTTAGCATTTCTTCAGTGTCTCACAGGATGCCACACATTACATGCATCATTACTTAATTTCACAATGTAGGGTTCAATTCTGAAAACACACAAATTCACTTTATAACTCACCCTCAGAAAGTTGAAGAAAAAAAACAAACAAACCAAAAATTTAGTTGTCAAAGGTCCCTCAAATGCTAGTACTATAAGTTAAAGATTATAAGTACAGTAGTAACTTGGTTTATGAAAATATTTTATGCTTTTAGGGAAGATGGCTGTGTTTGTATTTTTGTGGGGGAAGATAGACATGTGGTCCTGTTTGTCACATAATGTGGAGTTTGTGAGTGGAAGCAAAATTCTGTTGAATGCTTTTGTTGGTGACCCAAACTGTGCAAACAGAAGTGTCTGTGAACTGAGGTACTACTACATACAGCATAGAACTTCTGCATTTCAACTTTCATATTCTTTGGCAACATTTTAATCAGCAAACAATGTGTACAGACTGTCTACTTATCTACCAAAATTCTACAAAGCTAATGTCAATCTCTTCACTTACAGACTAGACCTCTTCCTCTCACCAACCCAAGGTCCACAGAGTTCCAGTACCTTTCTCTCATTCTCTTATATCATTTCCCCTTACACTTTATTGGTTCATTTCCATCAAATAAGCAAGCTGTTATTTCTTCTATCTGAAAAAAATAACTCTTCGTCTTTCTCCATT